GAAAATTAAGGATCTTATTTTTTGTTGAGTCAAATAGATTTATTATGATTTTAAAACAAGCATGTAAAATTATGAATTATATTTCAGCTTTCATGGATTTTTGTCTTCAAGATCTGTCAGTTTCCTTGAATTTTTGTATAAGCAAATATATGAATTTCTCTCCATCTATAACACACCAAAACCATTAAAAAAAAAATGAGAGAAAAGAGAAAGAATGATGGAAAGTCAAACATGGCTGCAAATTGTTTGGATTTATTTTAAAGAATCTAAAATAACATTCCAATTAAAATCTCGTTAAAAGTAATTAGAAATACTATTGTGGTGCAAAAGTTCTATGACGAAAAGATAATATTTTCCATCTATAATGCACCTGGTGCAAAATCTCTGTGACGAAAAGATGCTGCAAATTCTTGTTTTAGAATTAGTGAAAGTGTTTAAAGGATGAAAAAATGAGGAGTAATATTGGGATGATAAGTACACTACATTTTTTTTTCATTTTTAGTTTTTATTGGATTATGAGTATAATTGTAAATTTGTTGTCGTGCACTTATTGAAAATATATTTTAATTGTGATGTAATTATAATGTGGTGTAGGAAATAAATTTTGTGGTGGTAATATAATTACCCAAACGCAAAACCTAAATTGATAAAAATAAATGCAAAACCTAAATTATATATAATTTTTAGAGTGTGTGTGTATATATATATATATATATATATATATATATATATATATATATATATGATAATATAATTCCCTTTCTTAAGGTGCTGCACATGCAGCCACAATAGGATTCAGATAGTGCAACCGTTGATCGTTGACTGTTGGTAATCAACAGTCGTAATATCAAGATTGTTTATTAATATTTAATTAAAAAAATATTAAAAATTATTCAATATATATGTAAATGCCTAAAATATAAACTCCCAATTTTCATAAAAGTAAATCACAAATAAAACATCACCAAGTTTAAGTTTCCAATTTCCAACAACTTATTATTTATCATACAAATTCTTCAATTTATCATTGTCATTTATTACAAATCATATTCACTGTCCATGTATATCAAATATTCTCGAATTCACAAAATCCCCAATTCTCAAAAATCTAAATCCCCATAGTCAACAATCTCAAAAACACATCCATAACTCATAAAGAATAAATCATAAATGATAAATAAAAAAAATGAACTAAACTCTAAAAGAACAAAAACCACACAAAAGAAAAAAAAAAAAAATAGAGGCAGTAAATTCACTACCTCACAACAGCGAAGGCCAGTGGTGAAGACCGAAGAAGCTAGGCATCGATAGTCGACAACAGACCACATCGTCACAGTGGCATAAATTTAGAGTTGGCTGGAAATTTATGGGATGAAGTGCAAGAGCCAAACATAGGCTAACATGAAAAAGTTGGAGATAAAAAAATGGATTATGCCACTTTGTCCAAAGGGTTTCGATTGACGCAACGATAAAAATATGACTTATGCCTCTCGTACAAAAAATTCTCACAGAACTCAAACAGAAATTTAAAATTTTGGGAGGTACAGTAACCTTCTTTTTTGACCAGTCAACATAAAATGTAAAAAAAATAAAAAACTCATAAAGAATAAATCATAAATGATAAATAAAAAAAATGAACTAAACTCTAAAAGAACAAAAACCACACAAAAGAAAAAAAATAAAAAATAGAGGCAGTAAATTCACTACCTCACAACAGCGAAGGCCAGTGGTGAAGACCGAAGAAGCTAGGCATCGATAGTCGACAACAGACCACATCGTCACAGGGCAGGGGTTGGGTGCGAGAATTCAAGGGAAGGATTGAGATGTTTAGAATAGAGATAGCGGACAGGGTTTGCACGATTGCATTGCCAGTTTCCTTTTTCATTGCAATTGAAATTCGTTTGGGGGCTGATTCAGCGAACCAAGTGAACCCATATAAGATTGGGCATTTGCCCTATTTTTTATTTTTATTTTTTGTAAAAATAAAGAGGCCCAATAACAAAAAAAAAACCCAACAAATTACAATTAAAAACAAAATAAGGCCCAAGCAACTTTTGCTTTCATATTCAACCTCGGGTCTGCATTTTCTAACTCACGTTTTCTACAGTAGCACGTGCGATCGTGTACCCCTTGTCGGGTGCTGGCTCCGCCACTGAAGGTACTACATTTAAATAAATATATCACTTAATGTCATACAATTTTACTTAAATACATGCTTGATATAAGTGATGTTGAATAACATTACTTATACACGTAAATAGTAATATCTAAAGGTAATAATGAAAAGTAAGATTATTTTGTAAACTATTATTTCTTTCGTCCCATAAAGTAGGCTTATGTTTATTTTCACACAAATTAAGAAAATATAATTAATATAGGTGAAATGAAAATATAAAATTTTATTATATTTTTCTAATATAGTACTACATTATATAATGCTTTTAATATGAATAATTTATATTTGTCGATAACAAAGTACATTAAATGAGGTATATTAAAAAATGAAAAAAATTTGTCTAAGACTTTCAAGTTTCAACAAAGACGTTGTCTTGTGACAAAAATGGAAAGCCAACTCTAAATTTATGGGATGAAGTGCAAGAGCCAAACATAGGCTAACATGAAAATGTTGGAGATAAAAAGATGGATTATGCCACTTTGTCAAAAGGGTTTCGATTGATGCAACGATAAAAATATGACTTATGCCTCTCGTACAAAAAATTCTCACAGAACTCAAACAGAAATTTAAAATTTTGGGAGGTACAGTAACCTTCTTTTTTGACCAGTCAACATAAAATGTAAAAAAAAAAAATAATAATAATAATAAAAATAAACAGCGCCCACTTCTACAGCTTCCATATTCCCACTCATTTCCCCCCAAATTGTTTCACTGCTCCCGCCGAAAGTGGAGGCTTCACCACCGAAAAATCTGAAAGATTTGTACGTTTCCCCCGACTCCGACGAAGATGGTGATGCCCCACTTTGACGAAGATGGTAATAATTTCTCTTATTGTTCTCCCCTTTCTTGTCATTTGGAATTTCGTTATTTCCCTTCTATTGTTCTGAGCAAAGCTTGTCATTTGCTTCCAAAGTTGGGCATGAAATGTTGAAAAGTACTTTGCGGCATGAAAGAATAATGAGGATGCTATGTTATTATTTATTTCAAGCCACAGATTTAGGATAAATACTTTTATCCACATTATTGGTTTGTAGAGAATCAAAGGCTTAGATGTTTGGGTGTGCTTAAAAAAAGAAAATATTCCATCTTACTGTTAAAACAATTTTTCTTAGGCCATTATGTGTGGAACCCACCGATTTATATGCAAAATCAATGCAAAAAAGAAAGTGTTCTTTATAGTTCAAGCTTTTTATATAAATGTCCAAGATGAATTGGTAAGGTTTCAGAAATTTTATGGTAATACTGAATTTATATAAGGTTTTCAGCATCTATATTAGTTTGATCTAGTCAAGGCTAACTAGAGACTAGTTAGAGCTACAGATGGATGACAGGTTTTCTTTGGCATATTTGTTATTCTGTAATCTGTCCGAACTCATATTACATTGTAATTTGTTTGCTAAACATGGCATTTGATTGTGTTGCAGTAGAAGGTTTAATTTAAGAGATGCGATTTTTGGTGGGTCGATGTGAATCTTGCGGATAATATGATATCAACAAAGAAGGAAACATTAGAAGAAGATGGTCCGACGGTGCTTGAGGTGCCAGAGGTAGGTATGATGTTAAAGGATGAAAAAGAATTGTGGGATTTTTACAAAAGATATGCATATCATATCGGTTTTCCGATTAGAAGAAGGAACTCGAAAAAGGGGGACGACGGAAAAATGAAATATATGACTTTAACATGTGGTCGTGAAGGTCGGAGGCCTACCAGCACCAGTGGTTCTTCAAAGCCCCAACCAACTACTCAGATAGATTGTAAAGCTAGGGTCATTGTATCTGTAGATGTTTATGGAATCTGGAGAATAAACACAGTCCACCTCGACCACAACCATAAAACAAGTCCTTCAAAGTCGAGGTTGTACTGTTGCAATTGAGAATTAAGTTCGCACGTGAAAGGGAAGCTGGAAGTGAATGATATGACTGGAATTCCTTTACACGAGAGTTTTAATTCTGCAGTGGTTGAAGTAGGTGGATATGAAAAATTGTCTTGTGTGGAAAGGGATTGCCGGAATTATATTGAATAAGTGCGACGGTTAAGACTTGGTGAAGGAGATGCCGCAGTGATGCAGTCATACTTTTCTAGGATGCAAGCTCAGTGCTCAGGATTCTACTTTAGTATGGACCTAGACTATGATTCCAGGTTGAAGAATGTATTTTGGGCAGACAATAGGTCTAAACAAGCTTACAAGGAGTTCGACGACGTTGTCACATTTGATACCACTTGTCTAACCAACTAGTATGACATGCCATTCACCCCTTTTGTTGGCGTTAATCATCATGGAAAGTCGACATTGCTCGATTGTGATTTGTTGTCCAATGAGGACACGAAATCTTTTGTGTGGCTATTTAGCGCTTAGCTTCAGTTTATACATGAAAATGCTCCCCATGGAATCATTACTGATCAAGATAGGGCTATGCAAAATGCAGTTCAGATTTTTTTTCCTAATACGAAGCATAAATGGTGCTTGTGGCATATTCTCAAGAAGTTGTCCGAAAAGTTTGGATACCACGTCGATAAGGCTTCCATTTTTTCTACCATACATGCATTGGTTTATGATTCACAGTTCGTGGAAGAATTTGAAGAAGGTTGGAGGGCGATGATTGACACATATGGGTTGCACAGTAATGAGTGGTTGTCGGGACTATTTGATAATATAGGTGTTGGGTTCCTTGCTACTTGAAAACTACATTTTGGGCTGGGATGTCGACGACTCAGGGAAGTGAGAGTATGAACGCATTCTTTGATGGGTATGTTCATTCGAAGACCTCGTTGAAGCAATTTGTCAAACAGTATAAACAGGTACTAAGGAATAAGGTAAAGAAGGAGTTCCAGGCCGACTTCAAGTCATACTCCCAAATGGTACCATGCACAACAATGTTTGAAATGGAGAAGCAATATCAAAACTGTTACACCATTTCGAAGTTCAGAGAAGTTCAACCTGAGCTTATAGGGAAAGTTTATTGTGACATCATGTCTACTACGGAAGGCACTTCATGCATAACCTATGAAATACGGGAGTTTGTAATGGTTGATTATAGACGAAAGATCAAAAAGTTTTTCGTGTCATTTGAATGAGATAATTGCGAAATTGTTTGTAGTTGTCATTTGTTTGAGTTTCAAGGAATTTTGTGCCATCATGCTATCGTAGTCTTGATCTGTAATGATGTCACGTCTCTTCCAGATAGGTATATACTACGAAGATGGAGGAGAGAGGTTTGTAGAGCACACACCAAGGTTGCATTGAATTATGCCGGGTTGGTATCTATGCCTGAACAGTTGAGATATAACGATATATGTCAGGCTTTTGTCGAGGTTGCAAACCTAGCAGCTAATGATAAGGATGCTGCTATACGATCAAGGAGTGGATAAATAATCAAAAGGAAGAGTTGATGACAATAAAATTAGGCTCCGAAAGTAATCGCATTTTACATCACGATATTCAGTTAGCCTCACAGTGTAATGAATCTGAAAACAATGCCATAAGGGATCCTATATCGACAAGAAGAAAGGGCGCTCCTAAGAAGCTTCAGAGAAAAGGCCGACTTGGAGACGTCTTCGAAAAAGGCAAAGGTATCATTGTCATGATTTTTGTCAACTTAAAAAGTATTTCATTAAAATTAGTATGTAACATGAACCATATTTGTAGGCTACATTGCCCTCGACTAGAGGAAATGGACCAACATCCAGGCATAGTGATACACCGTCTGCACCCGTCGTCCAAGCATCTCAACAATATTCTATGCAGACATCGTTTTCGTATTCACAACTACTGTTGGTTAGTACACTTAGTTTATTATAATGATTTGTTCAAAATTTTAATTTCATTTTTATACGATGTAGGGTGATGTAGAAAGTCTTACCTTCTCGCAACACTGGCCAGCCTCAAGTTTGGTCCCCCAACATCAACAAATGTCATATTCAACGATCAAGGTTTGCACACGTTTAAATCTTCACATTTGCATTAGAGGACACGAAATCTTTTGTGTGGCTATTTAGCGCTTAGCTTCAGTTTATACATGAAAATGCTCCCCATGGAATCATTACTGATCAAGATAGGGCTATGCAAAATGCAGTTCAGATTTTTTTTCCTAATACGAAGCATAAATGGTGCGTACATTTTATAAGTGTACTTATGTTCGTATTATACGACAGGTCGTTCGATTCCATACAGTTAACTATCCACATTTCCCACAAGGTGGTCCAGGCATATGAACAATGGATGAAGAATTTTTGGACTTTTGCTATTCGTTCTTTGCTGTCTATCATGTTAGGATTTTTGGGACATTTTTTATTTCGCGGAGTAAAAAAAAATGCCTAAGAGCGAAATGTTTCTATTTTTGTTTGTGGGGATAATTCTGTAAATTTGTCTTGGTCCATTTCCACTAGGAAGGAAGGGTACATTCTTGACCTCATTAGTTATTCATATCTCGACTACCACTGTACTATGATTGATATTCAAGCATTTGTAAATGACAATTTGGCACTATGCCTATAAAATATCTCAAGACTGGATCTTTTGTTATGTTGATTTGTTATGCGGTTTATGATGTAAATTCAGGAATTTGGTTTCTTTAGGTTTAATTTCATAGATCTATTATGCACATTTGGTTTACAGTCTGATTCATTTTGTCCCCCCCGCCCCCCCTTGAATGTAGTGGTCTAAATTCAGTTTTTGTTTGATATTAGTATTTTTGTCATTCTCACCTTAATATGGGTTTAACCGTTGTCAACATGTTACCTAAAATGAATCTTAATAGTTTCTATATTTTCTCCTCAATCTGTCTTTAGGAATGAAGATTAAGACTGAAATTTGCAGTTCACATAGAAGCAACTCATAGCAACAGTATGAACCATAAAGTCTTCCTCATTCAAAACTAAAATAGTTGCAAATCTAATGATTACAAAACTAAAGCAGATTACACCATTCTACATCAATTAAGAAGCTAGCAATTAGCCCAACAAACTAAAGACACACTAAAGAGAAGACTGCAACATCGAGTATAACACCACATTATGCCGACCCCTTTCGTTTTCCATTATCTTCCGAGGGCTCTTTTCCTTTGCGAAGTGTCACATTAAATGAAACCTCGACGTTTCGGTTCTCGGCTATTCGAGCTAGACTTTCGAACATATTTTGCAACTCGTTCACTTCCTCGTTCACAGTAGGATTTATTGTGTCCTTAATGGTACTTGACTCGCCGTTTCCTTCTTCTTTTACCCAGTTAAAAAATCTGCAATCATTACTGTAGGTTTTGAATAGTCGACCTTTTTTTCCTAATACGAAGCATAAATGGTGCTTGTGGCATATTCTCAAGAAGTTGTCCGAAAAGTTTGGATACCACGTCGATAAGGCTTCCATTTTTTCTACCATACATGCATTGGTTTATGATTCACAGTTCGTGGAAGAATTTGAAGAAGGTTGGAGGGCGATGATTGACACATATGGGTTGCACAGTAATGAGTGGTTGTCGGGACTATTTGATAATATAGGTGTTGGGTTCCTTGCTACTTGAAAACTACATTTTGGGCTGGGATGTCGACGACTCAGGGAAGTGAGAGTATGAACGCATTCTTTGATGGGTATGTTCATTCGAAGACCTCGTTGAAGCAATTTGTCAAACAGTATAAACAGGTACTAAGGAATAAGGTAAAGAAGGAGTTCCAGGCCGACTTCAAGTCATACTCCCAAATGGTACCATGCACAACAATGTTTGAAATGGAGAAGCAATATCAAAACTGTTACACCATTTCGAAGTTCAGAGAAGTTCAACCTGAGCTTATAGGGAAAGTTTATTGTGACATCATGTCTACTACGAAAGGCACTTCATGCATAACCTATGAAATACGGGAGTTTGTAATGGTTGATTATAGACGAAAGATCAAAAAGTTTTTCGTGTCATTTGAATGAGATAATTGCGAAATTGTTTGTAGTTGTCATTTGTTTGAGTTTCAAGGAATTTTGTGCCATCATGCTATCGTAGTCTTGATCTGTAATGATGTCACGTCTCTTCCAGATAGGTATATACTACGAAGATGGAGGAGAGAGGTTTGTAGAGCACACACCAAGGTTGCATTGAATTATGCCGGGTTGGTATCTATGCCTGAACAGTTGAGATATAACGATATATGTCAGGCTTTTGTCGAGGTTGCAAACCTAGCAGCTAATGATAAGGATGCTGCTATACGATCAAGGAGTGGATAAATAATCAAAAGGAAGAGTTGATGACAATAAAATTAGGCTCCGAAAGTAATCGCATTTTACATCACGATATTCAGTTAGCCTCGCAGTGTAATGAATCTGAAAACAATGCCATAAGGGATCCTATATCGACAAGAAGAAAGGGCGCTCCTAAGAAGCTTCAGAGAAAAGGCCGACTTGGAGACATCTTCGAAAAAGGCAAAGGTATCATTGTCATGATTTTTGTCAACTTAAAAAGTATTTCATTAAAATTAGTATGTAACATGAACCATATTTGTAGGCTACATTGCCCTCGACTAGAGGAAATGGACCAACATCCAGGCATAGTGATACACCGTCTGCACCCGTCGTCCAAGCATCTCAACAATATTCTATGCAGACATCGTTTTCGTATTCACAACTACTGTTGGTTAGTACACTTAGTTTATTATAATGATTTGTTCAAAATTTTAATTTCATTTTTATACGATGTAGGGTGATGTAGAAAGTCTTACCTTCTCGCAACACTGGCCAGCCTCAAGTTTGGTCCCCCAACATCAACAAATGTCATATTCAACGATCAAGGTTTGCACACGTTTAAATCTTCACATTTGCATTAGTGTACATTTTATAAGTGTACTTATGTTCGTATTATACGACAGGTCGTTCGATTCCATACAGTTAACTATCCACATTTCCCACAAGAAGGTGGTCCAGGCATATGAACAATGGATGAAGAATTTTTGGACTTTTGCTATTCGTTCTTTGCTGTCTATCATGTTAGGATTTTTGGGACATTTTTTATTTCGCGGAGTAAAAAAAAATGCCTAAGAGCGAAATGTTTCTATTTTTGTTTGTGGGGATAATTCTGTAAATTTGTCTTGGTCCATTTCCACTAGGAAGGAAGGGTACATTCTTGACCTCATTAGTTATTCATATCTCGACTACCACTGTACTATGATTGATATTCAAGCATTTGTAAATGACAATTTGGCACTATGCCTATAAAATATCTCAAGACTGGATCTTTTGTTATGTTGATTTGTTATGCGGTTTATGATGTAAATTCAGGAATTTGGTTTCTTTAGGTTTAATTTCATAGATCTATTATGCACATTTGGTTTACAGTCTGATTCATTTTGTCCCCCCCGCCCCCCCTTGAATGTAGTGGTCTAAATTCAGTTTTTGTTTGATATTAGTATTTTTGTCATTCTCACCTTAATATGGGTTTAACCGTTGTCAACATGTTACCTAAAATGAATCTTAATAGTTTCTATATTTTCTCCTCAATCTGTCTTTAGGAATGAAGATTAAGACTGAAATTTGCAGTTCACATAGAAGCAACTCATAGCAACAGTATGAACCATAAAGTCTTCCTCATTCAAAACTAAAATAGTTGCAAATCTAATGATTACAAAACTAAAGCAGATTACACCATTCTACATCAATTAAGAAGCTAGCAATTAGCCCAACAAACTAAAGACACACTAAAGAGAAGACTGCAACATCGAGTATAACACCACATTATGCCGACCCCTTTCGTTTTCCATTATCTTCCGAGGGCTCTTTTCCTTTGCGAAGTGTCACATTAAATGAAACCTCGACGTTTCGGTTCTCGGCTATTCGAGCTAGACTTTCGAACATATTTTGCAACTCGTTCACTTCCTCGTTCACAGTAGGATTTATTGTGTCCTTAATGGTACTTGACTCGCCGTTTCCTTCTTCTTTTACCCAGTTAAAAAATCTGCAATCATTACTGTAGGTTTTGAATAGTCGACCATTGTTATTGCCCTCCTTTTGAACCTCAAAGCATTTTTGGATTCCTTCTACACACCATCGACAACGTAGTTTTTGGTGGCATTCTTCGAAAAAGTGATCTATACTTCTACAGCTGTGATAAACACCATAATTCTTTCCTCTTATCCCTACATGAAAAACCACCACATACATTGTAGTTAGTGTACATATAGCTACCGAGTTCTTCAAATTATCAATGATTTTGATACTCTAAATTCTATACTAGCAAGTTTAAACCAAATTTCACATAAGTCATAACATATAGCAATGGCAAAGAAGTTGATCACCACATTACATTTGTTTACGGCTTCAAATGTGGAAGCCAAATCAATTTTAAAGAGAGAAAGGCCTTTACCATCCAAACTTTAATTACATGAATTCCCAGGCATAAAAACTTGTATTCCATTATCCAGACCAAGACAACTACAAACTAGTATTTCCAGACAACTACAAACTAGTATTTCAGTGTCACTCCAAACCAAGCAAGAACAAATACATATACATCACAATTTGTTCAGATTGTCACTCCAAACCAAGCAACCTATTCTGCTAACCCAACTTCATCCAATTTAACCGAGAAACAGAGTATTTTCTTTGAAATGGGAATGCAGAAACTAATGGGTCTGACTCATATTTGTGTCAATTCATAGCTTTATATTTGAATCTCCTTATATGAAGCAACGAATACAAATGCATATCACATTTGTTCAGATTGTTATAGGTGCAAAAATAGCATAATTGTCCCATTCACAACTACATATACAAATACATAAACTTCACATCCTTTTCACAACTTCTCAACAAGCTCGTAAATTATCCAATTTCAGAACTGCCCAACGCAAGGAACATAGCAGAATTGTTTATTGAAAAAGCTGAAAATCTTGTAGTTTCAAACCATCTACAGTAGTTGCAAAAAAACCCATAAATATTTTGTTCAAAATCCCAAAAATCTAACCTTCAAGAAACGCTCTCGCAACTGCTAGTAATTCTAGTCTACAATCCAATGACGACAGTCGGAGAAGATGACGACAGGGGAGGGCAAAATCGACAGCGTTGTTGCACTTTGGACACCGATAATATGACAATGATAAAGATGTCTTTTGAAGGATTGACGGTAGCCGGATTTTGGGACGACAACGCTGGCAAGAACAACAGTAAATCTAGTAAGGGTAATCGGCAGGAGTGATGGGAAGAACCAACAAGTACGGGAGAAAGTGAAGCCTTTATGGGGGTTTGTTTTGTTTTCAGTCAAACTCACGTGGTTGTTTCAGAATGTGCCATTATTCTATTATTTATTTATTCTTATTTCATTTGTTTGAGAATTCAAAATGGAGTTGACACGTCATCTGGTGACTTTCTATGATTTCACTTTTGTACACATAGCCGAATTGTAAAAATATAGGTGAGAACATATAATTGGCTGAAAAAAGTAACAATATTTTAATCAATCCATTAATAGAATGTCACACAGTCTCAACATGCTTATAGCAAAAGTTCCCTAAAAAATCTAAAGCTAAAGAATAGTATACATTTTCCTTTTGTGATATACTATAAAGGTGGGCGTGAGTCGGTTCGATTCGATTCTAAAGAGAATCGAATCGAACCAAAATTTTTGGGTATCTAGTAAATTAAACCGTCGGGTCCAAATATAATTATGAAATTGTTTGGGTTCGGTTCCGTACTATAATTAAATTTTTTAACATTTATAATAATATTGTATAAATACAACTAATGATACATTCAATAGTTTTGGAATGTTAGAGACTTGTAGACTACATTGTTCAAATGATCGCTACGATCAAAGATTCGGTAGGCGGAGGTCATAGCTTCGATCGGAAGTCATAGTGTCGGCCGGCGATTGTATAGGTTTTGAAATGTCAGCGAGACTGCGAGAGTCGAGACAGCGTTATGCACTTTAGTGTAGGTTTTTAGGGTTATTTAGTTGGTTGGATCTTGTTGGGTTAAGAAATGAAACAATAAAATGGGTAATTAGGCCAAAAATTAAAAAAATTAGAAATGAAACAAATTATTGGGCCAAAAATTTGGATTTAAAAATTGTTAATTTATCAATTTGTTTAAAAAATTAAAATTAAAATAACTTGATTTATTCAATATAAAAAAAATTAGAAAGATTCGATTCTTATTCTATTTTTCGGTTCTTGATCTAGAATTGAGAACCGAACCGTACACATCGGTTCTCAATTCAGATACCCGTTCTGATATTTAATTTGACAAGAACCATCGAATTCGCTTCGATTCAATTCGGGAGATTTGTCCAACCTTAATAAACCATACAAACAGGGTTTGATGATAGGATAACATATGTCAATTTTTGATTGGAAAATTTGAAAAAAATAATAATAATAAAATCATCCAAACAGACGCTCATACTTGGGCGCCCGTACCTCTCCTGTCACCCTAACTATCTTTGCTCTTTTCTTCTTGGAAGCATAGGACTGGCCGCCATATAGATTTCGCCACGGTCGAAGGAAGTGGCGCCGTCGCTCCCAAAGTATCGAAGCTTAGCCAACAATGGCGGAATCAAGCTCATCATCAATCGATCCCAGAAGCGGCTACTGCCGAGAAACCAAAACATTTCACAGCCTCCACCAGTTGGTCCCTCTTCCGCAGGAAACTGTCCCTCTCACCGTAGCTTCATATGCTCTTTCTCTCCAATCCGCTTCACCATGGCGCGACGCCACCGCACTTATCGACTTCGCCACCGGACAGTGTATTTCCTACTCTGAATTTCACCTTCTCACCAGAAACCTAGCTTCGTCTCTACGCACAAATGCCGGCCTCTGCAAAAGCGACGTCGCCTTTGTCCTCTCGCCGAATTCAATCCGTATTCCGATACTCTATTTTGCCCTTCTCTCTCTGGGAGTTATCATTTCTCCCGCCAATTCTCTCAGCACTTCGGAAGAAATCTGCCGCCAAATCCGTATCTCAAGACCGGTCATCGCGTTTGCCACATCAGCAACCGCCAATAAACTCCCCAAGCTCGAGTACCCAACAATTCTCATCGATTCTTCTGAATTCGAGTCAGCAATGTATCTGAAGAGTTCGGATTTTGAATTCAGTAAAGGGAACTTTGAGGTCTACCAAAACGACGTTGCTGCAATACTGTATTCGTCTGGGACGACAGGGAAAGTGAAAGGCGTGCTGTTGACTCACAGGAATTTTATCACAGTTATCGCAATTTATCATCACTGGCAGCAGCAGCAGCAGCAGGGGAGGTTGTTTCCGCCGGTGATGCTGTACACCATACCATATTTTCATGTATTCGGGTTTTTCTACAGCTTGAAGTCCGTGGCATATAGTGAAACTGCAGTGGTTTTGGGGAGGTTCGAGTTGAGGAAGATGTTAAGGGCTGTGCACGAATATAAAGTAACTCATGTGGTAGTGGCGCCGCCGATTGTAGTGGCAATCTTGAAGGCTACTGAACTGGAGGACTATGATTTGAGATCCTTGGAGTGGGTTGGAAGTGGCGGAGCACCACTTGGGAAAGATTCCATCAAATCTTTCACCAAGAAATTTCCCGCAGTGATTCTGTCTCAGGTTTGTTTTTTGATCTCTTAGAAATCCTTCTTTATTCACTCATTTAATAGCTAAATGGTTTCTTGTTTTTCTCTTGTGTTTGGATGCCGAAATTTGTAAATGAAGAACTAACTAAACTAAATTGCAAAGGGTTATGGATTAACTGAAACAACTGGTGTGGCATCTCGAGCAATGTCTACCGAAGAAAGTCAATGTTGGGGTTCTGTGGGGAGGCTCGTTGCAAGTTCTGAAGCAAAAATTGTTGATCCAGATACTGGAATTGCTCGGCCTCCTGGTGAGCAAGGGGAGCTTTGGATTAGAGGACCAACAATAATGAAAGGTAATAATAAATTGTATGAATTGAAAATTAGGGGAATGCTAATTTTGTGTTTGTTTACCTTAATATAACCAAAGTTACATATTCGATTAAAGGGATTTCTAGTGTGTGCACCCCCTCAGACAGCTTGAGCTTTTATGAGTTGGTTTGACACAATACAAAAACAGGCACAATTAATGATTCCAAGTCCCATAGCGGTCCATTTATGATATATATATATATATTGTGTCTGGCCTGGGCGTGTCGCAGATTAACTTACGTAGAAATTTGTCTCATTTCTAGCATCTTAAGCGTTTAGACGAGGATTCCGCCATTTGTCATGAAGCAAGTTTATGGTTTTTAGCAGCATTCCTTTCTTAATTTACATTGAGCACAAGGCTAGAGCAGTAGCCTTTCCTTCCTTGTTGGTGATATTGGCTTGGGTGGTTGGGGTAGATTGGTTTGGTTGACCTAGCTTTGTGCGGGATAGCTCAATGTGCTCTAAGACTTTTTGATGTTTTTGTAGGTTATTTGGGTGACTCCAACGCAACTTCTGAAACCTTGGTTTCCAATGGCTGGCTGAGGACAGGTGATGTTTGTTATATCAACGATGAAGGTTTCCTTTTTGTTGTAGATAGGCTGAAGGAGTTAATCAAATACAAAGGATACCAGGTTAGCATCACTAGTGTTCTCCTCTCAACAAGGTTTCATATATAATCAAGTGTGACCATAATAAACTTTCACTTCCAAACTTGCATGTTTGCCTAAGCTTAAAAGTTACTTCTCTGTAACTTAAATTTTTTGCCAGACATGTTTGAGGAGGTTTAAAAGTTACTTTTGTTTGATATAACTAGTAAGTTTACCTTATGTCATCTGTTTAGGTTGCCCCTGCTGAGCTAGAACAGCTGCTTCTATCACACCCAGATATTGCAGATGCTGCTGTGATACCGTAAGCTTCATTTCCCGAAAATTTAATTGCATGTACTGCATAGAACTGGACAGCTGAACAAGTTTTAACTGTGTGAGAAGAGGCTGCTGGTTTCTACTGCTGGTTTTCTGCTGGGGCGCCCAGGCGCCTGGAGTGGGCGCCTAGGCGCCCAGTTTCTGCCGGGGCCACTCACATGGAACCTAGGCGCCCCGAGTATGTTTCTTGACAGAAACATGGCGCCTAGGCGCCTCTTGTGGCGCCCCCCTTTCCCCCCCCCCCCCCTTCTCATTAAGACAAGACCTAGAGAGAAAATTAGAGAGAAAAACTTGGTGAGAATTTTACAAGAAGAAGGTTGTTCATCTTGGGTACAAATTCTAAGTTATTTTTCTTTCTAGGGATTAACTTGAGGCTTGTTCAAGTAATCCAAACACATTGATCTTCATATATTCCATTGAAATCATTTGTTCCTCATTTTCTTGTTCTTCAAGTGTTTTGGAAATTTTCACTTTGTCAACTTGTTTGATCTTTTGGGCTATCTTTGGGAGGTGTTTTCCCAACAATTTGGTATCAGAGCTACATCCTAAATCAAGGTAGTTAAGCTTCGATTTTGTGGTGAGTTGCTTGAACTTTGTTGTGCACAAGGTGTTTGTGAAAATTCCCAAGTGAACTTTTGTGGTTTATTTTCGGTAAACAAGTAAATCATGTCTACTAGAGGAATGGTGAAGATTGGGAAGTATGAGATAGAAAAATTCAATGGGAAGAATAATTTTTCATATTGGAGAATGCAAATGAAAAATTTGTTGATTTCTCAAAAGTTGCACAAGGTATTGGCGGGAAAGGAGAAGAAGCACGTTGATATGTTGGACGAGGATTGGGAAGAGCTAGATCTTGAGGCACAAGCGTCTATCATTCTTTGCCTTGAAAGAGATGTTGCTTTCTTGGTTGATAGTGAGGTAACGGCGGCGGATGTGTGGACAAAGTTGGAGGCGAACTTCATGACGAAGACTCTAACAAATCGGATCTACTTGAAGTCCAAATTGTATACTTGCAAGATGGATGAAGGTACACCAATCCGGGAGTACGTCAACAAGTTTGATAGGATCATATCGGACTTGAAGGACATTGATGTGGATGTAGATGATGAGGATCAAGCACTTCTACTACTTCTTTCATTGCCAAAGTCTTACGAGAACCTAGTACAAACATTGATGCTTGTGGGTGATAAACTTGTGATGGAGGACACTAGAACGTCACTTCTAGCGAATGATCTTCGAAAGATTGCAACTAGTGGCATGTCTACCATTGGTAACAAGGAGCAAGCTCAAGGATTGTTTGTGAGGGGTAGAAGCAATGTGAGACCAAAGGGCAAGGGAGAAAAATCTAGATCGAGTTCTAGACCTCTTGCGGAAAGGTCTTGTTTTAAATGTGGCGAGTTTGGGCATTTCAAGGCGAATCGTCCAAACAAAAAAGGTTGG